TCTTTCTCTCTTTCTTTCTCTCTTTCTCTCTTTCTTTCTCTTTCTTTTCTTTCTTATCTATGTCTTGCCATTTTTTCCAGTCATAGGATGCCAGAATGGAATGCAGTATTTCGGGTGTAGTCATTGATACTAAAGGGGAAGGAAGGTATCTTCTTCCTCCTTTGTTGACAGAATATGTCATCTCCACAAAAAAAAAATCACTGTATTCCTTGTTCCTCCCACCCTCATTGGATGAATGCAATCCCTAAGAATGCTTTCCTTTTAAAATATTTCAGATGTAGTAACCCAGAAAGATGCAAATTCTTGAGCTAAAGATGGAGAAGGATGGGAAGGCAAAGAAAAACAAAGAGTTCAGAAGAAGAGGGTTCCATAAACCTACATGTGCCACAGTGGTCAAATGCAGGTAACAAATTATCAACCATCATAAAGGAAAAGAAGCAGGGGACTGATTCACCAAGCTTTTTAATATTGTGTACTCAATCATACTTGCGAAGGAGAATCCTACCCAGGCAGAGAGGTTGCATTTTAAGTCTGCTTTGTCAGATCATAAACAACAGCACAATGTGTAAGACAGAGGAGAATCAAACCCCATATGTTCTCAAATCTGCTGAGCCTTTTATATGCCTTTTTGGGTTGGGTTTTTTTGTTTTGTTTTGTTTAATGGGGAATTCGTAAAATTCAACTCTTCCCTACAAAGGCTTCCTGTTTCAACAGATGAAAATGTTTTCATGAAAAAGGTTTTCCATGGAAATACTCCCAACTTGCAGTCCTCTGTGGTTAGAGCTCCCACAACCCTGAGTGCTGGAGTCAGCCACCCTTACTTTCCAGGGAAGCAAGGGCAAATTGGGAAACACCCCTGGCACCACGAGGGGCTGCAAAACCTTGGCACAGCACTGCCTGTGGAGTGAGGAACGAGTGGGACTGTCGAGAGAAGTGTGAGGAACACATTGGCCCAAATTCCCTGCAGATCTGGGTTTCTGCTTCTCAGAGACAAAGAAGAAAGCAGTGTATTTCAGCTCTCCCTTCCTTTCTCCACTACAGCTCAGGGATGGCCCCAACCTATGCCATCCTTTAAGAGTCCTCTAGAAAAACTGGAACCCAGCACCTCAATACAACATGGTGCCTTCCTTACACACTGTTACAAAGACAACATCGCCAGTTGGCTAAAAAAGCAGGATTTTGAGTAAAGCCTCAGCTGGGATTGCCTGTCTAGGTCACCATGGCCCAGAGCAATACTAATCCAACAAATAATCTGCTCAGCCAATTTCCCAGGTTTGCCTTCAGACATCTAGATGGATATCCCAAAAGGACACAAATACACAAGATTTCTAGCTGAAGCCTTCTCATATTATCCACCCTGCATTGTGAATCAGAGTAATAAGGAGTAATCAGAAACTATGTCATTCAAGAAGGACTAAAATCAGAAAGCTTATATTGTAGAAGGAAGAGTTTTACTCACTGTAGTGATTTACTCTAAGTAGAATTTATTTGTAAAATAGCCTAGGTCTAAGAACTAAACTTGCATACTTAAAATTAGAAAAATGAAAAAGAAATTACCATTTTAAAATACATATAGGAGTCCATCAAAGATAGATTAAGACAAGCATTGTTCCTGAGCAAAGAAAGAATAAAAGCATGATTGAAAATTTAGCCTGACCTGTTGAAGCATGCTAAATTCTCAGTTATATTGTGATGAACTTGTAAGCAGTTATTCAGCTTGGATCATGTTGCAGACACTCTACATGTCAGAACATGCAGAGCTGGAGTACAGGCAGAGGAATTAGCACAGAGTGCTTACCTGGAATACAGCATCTGGAATACAGCAAGTCCTCTTCCCCAATCTTTTTTCCTAGTACATTCCTGACTCCAGGTCTGGTAGCTGGTTTTGCTGGTGGAAGTTACCATTGCTTTTTCTCATTTGAGTAAAAGGTTTTAACAGTAAAACACTACCATGAAACCTGGGGAGCAGCTAAAGAGTCCATCTTCAGTTGCAGCAGTTTTCAGCATTGCTTACATTTGGATGGGGGCACTTTGTCTCCTATGGTCCCTTCTATTCCCAGGTAAGCATGCAGAAGTCTCCAGAAATTAAAACAGTGCGCTGATAACCAATTAACATATTTAAAGACCCCCCCCCCCCCAAAAAGGTTACTTTCAGCTAAAATATTTTTTCTGTTAGTTCTGGCAAACTTTATGTTTTCACAGTATTAAAAATCAACATTCTCTGTATTAAATTAACTTTTATTTTTTCAATATGAAAAAATGGAGAGCATACAAGAAAATGCAAATATCTATTCCTTGAAGATTGTCTTCTCTACAGCTTCAATCCAAAACTATCACATGAATTTAAGTGCACCTAAAAAGAAAACTGGAGCCTGAATGTTTATGGTTGTGAACATGTGAATGCTAAATAAAATTCAAACAAGAATTCAAGGCAACATTTGGCTACCTAAGTAGTTTTATGACACAATCTTAAGGATTCTGATGGTGTTTGTTCAAAGGAAGCCAAGCCTCAAGAGAAACAGGGGTCCCTTGGAGGACCTGCTGGATCTCTCTGTGTGAGGAAGCAGATGGAACTTGCAGCTCGTTCTTCCACTTTTGTGGGAAGATATTTTTGGTGGAAGAAAAGAATTCTGGTCTCTGTACAATTGCTCAGTTTATTATCTTTAGCACTTTATAAATACGCTTCCAAGATCACTTCCTATGAAGTGCTGAGTATCTTCATGCAATGTTGAGGCAATGTAGAAACATTTCACAGATGAAACAAAAATGTCCCCATTGATAAAGAAAATAAAAAATAAAAAAAAGATGACCACTATTGCATGGAGTCCTACCCAAAGTTATTCCAACTCCTTGGACATCAGCTGCAGTCTGGCCACTCAAAAAGGGTATCCAGCACTGTTTAGTATTGGTTCAAGGGGGCACTGAGAAGATTATTTAGGATGGGATCCATCTCAGTTAGCTTAATTAACAGCCTTAAATTTCAGTATCTAAAGAATCTTTCAGATTTTCCTGAGGATAGTGGAGTGACATGAGCATCTACAAACGATACTTTATTCCTTTCTAAGTTGAGAGTCTTAAAAGGGGAATAGCAACACCAAAAATGGCCAAATAATGCAGTTATCAGAGGTTGTCCCCATGACTCTGCAGCCCCTTAGGTAGGTTTTCAGTTTGTGGAAGGTGAATTACTGGAGTACTGATTTTCAAAGGCAAGCAGATCTCATCACTGTCACACGAAGCAATGTTTAACCTTTTGGAGAAGGAGGATCAGAGGTTTCCTTCATGATTCCAGATGGCCAGCACATCACCCAGCCTCAGCCTGGAGCAGCAGACTGAAGCATTGTCTCAACCCCCACATTGTTTAACATGAGCTTCTCAGTCAAGCCCTTGAAATATCAGCCACAGGAACGGTTTCCTAAGGGTAAATTACCTTCCAGGTTGTGTCCTTTAGCCAAGACAATCTATTTTTAAACCCTATACTTTAACTCAGGCAGAAGTTTTGCATAATCTTTATGCAAAAAACTATTCCATGGTCTGTGCAATGCAAATTCACAAATGAATCAATCATAACAGCCAAAACTGATCTGAAACACATCAAGGTTGGGTTTTTTTCATTTTATGAGTATATATTTCAAACACATCCAGGAAATCCACTTGGTATAGATGAATTCACCAGAAAGTACCATTTTTTTTTTCGGAGTATGCCTCTGAGAAAAATTGTTTTATTTAAACAAGAGGAAAAGAAATCAGATTACAGTTATTTTCTTCCTCTTGCAAGCTTAAGCAGGTTCAGCAGGTATAATTTGCTACTGGAATAATAGGAAAGAATAGGAAAATACTTGTTATCTATTATTTGCATTACTGCAGTACATTCAAGCACCTGTCAGTGAGCAACTTCACAGAGATGGAAAGAAAGCATATCCCCTGCCCAAAGAGCTAACCTGCTATGAAGGACCAGAGGCACAGTCCCATCTAGAGAGTCAGGAAGAGCCTGAACTGCTAGAAAAACTATGGTCAGGACAATGAGCAGATCAGTGTAATTGCTCTTAATTGTATTATTTAACTCAAAATGACATTGTATCTAAATATTTTATCAAAGGTGTTTATGTTTATGCTGATTTAGTATTTTTTTCTTTGATTTATTTTTGATAATATATTCAGTTACGTATCTTTAAAAGCCATCTCCTTTTGGAAACTATTTATTGATCACTGAATTTTACTGCTGCCCAGTTGGACAATTCGGGGACAGGGGTGTTTCTTTGACTTTTCCAAAGAATTTTCATAGATTAGGAGAACAAGTCTTTCTCTCACAAAATGCAAGATATCTTTACCTATCTGTTTTTTTGAGCACTATACTAAGAGGCATGTCAACAACCTCTCAACCAACTAAAATCTCATGCAGTGTAGTGCCACTCAACATTAAAGCAATAACTTCCCAAAGTTCTGGAACTTCTTGTGAGTCCAAGATCTCATTTGTATCACTATTACTTCAGCCACTGCATATTTTCTTTTCTCCATAAGCTTCATGTTGTGCTGCTCCATCAGCTGGACAGCCCTTGCCTGTCCCCCCAGCCCCAGACTGTGCTGAGCTGTAACACCACTGTCAGGCTAGAGAGAGAACAATCCGACAGAAACTGGTGTTTCAATTCATTATTCTCCAGATTCTGGGGCTGATTTTATCAAGACTTCATACTGGATTCATCTCTTCATTTCCCCTACGGCTTTTGGCAGCTCTGCGATTCCTGCTGACTCTACCAAAAAAAGGAACACAGTTTATCAGGAAAGCAGAAGGAGTGTAAGTCTGACATAGGGGGAGAAGGAAATCTTGTGTAGGCAGTCAACAGAAGGATAAGGAAAGCCCAAAGGAGTCATCGCCTCAACACTTTCTGTTTCACATTGCTGAAACTGGTTATTTGTATACACTGGTGAATCTTTTGTGTTAATTAGGTGTTATTTAATGATCTGAATCACTTTCTAGGGACCAGTGGCTAAATACAGCCCACATGGCAGCTCACATCATTCACGACTTCCTCAAATACCCCCGCTGTAGGTTAAGGTAAGGGAGTTATTCGGTTGCAAACCAGTTTTTGTTACACCCGGGTTGTTCAGCCCTGCCAGGACGGTTCTGGGACAGCCACAGCGACTGAAGCTGCTAAACATTTCACACGCAGACAGGTACTTACAGGCTTTTCCTCACCATAATAAAGTTTAAATCTTAGTCTTGAATTGTCGATTTGCAGGTTCACTTCTTTTCTTAAAAATCACTACTATTATATATTTCAGGACCTCTAAAGTTCCCGGTGGGTTTAAGTGTAGTTTTAGTGTTATTTTGGTTTGGGATTTGCTTGTGGATTTTTGGGGGCTTTTTTGCTTTAGCTTTGGAGCTCACTCGGTGTATTTTGTGGCTGCTGTTGTTCCCTCCTCTCCCGAAACACGATCCCTGGGTAGGCGGGCGGGGGCAGCGGCCGCCAGTAGCCGGCTCGGCACCCCGGCGCCCGAAACCCGCCGGGATTCCCCATCCTGCCGCCGGCCTGAGCGCGCCCATCGGGGAAGCCGCGGGGAAGGGCGCCCCGCAGCCGCGGCGGGGCCGGCACAAGCGCGGCGCTGCGGGGCGGGGAGCGGAGCGCGGGGCTCTCGCTTCCAGAGGCGGGCGGGACCCGCTCCGCGCCCGGCGAGCCGAGCTGAAGCCCCGCACGGCGCGGCTGCACATGGCGCGGCCCCGCTCGGCGGCAAGGTGAGTCTCCGGCAGCAGCACCTGGGCCGGGGCCGCGGGGCTCGGCACGCCGAGCGGAGCCGCTCCCGGGGCTCCCGGGCCGGGCAGCGGCGGCGGCCGAGCCGGAGCGCGGGGGCGGCGGGCGGGAGCCGGGCGGGGCGCGGGCGGCGGCTCCCCCTGGCCGGGCGGCGCTTGGTTTCTCCTGCCAGCGGAGGCAGGGCCAGGCGCGGCGAGGGTGGGCGCGGAGTTGGCGGCGGGGCTGGGGGCAGACGGCGGCGAGCCGCGGCGGAGTTCGTGCTGTACGCGGGGCGGGAGGTGAGGGACGGGGTCCGGGACCGGGCTCGGCTCCGCTGCGCTCCGCGCTGGGTTTTGGGGGTGGGAGTTTGTAGCGGCCGCGGAGCGGAGGGGAAGAGCCCCGGGGCTGGGAGGGCAGGTGGGGAGCGGCGGGACACGGTGGGCGGTGGCGGGTCAGACCCTCCTCTTCCTCTCCGCGCTCCGCCGGTGAAGTCGACGGTCGGGTGGGAAGGTGGCGGCGTGAGCTGGAAGTGGGCGAAAACTTGTTCCTCCGTGTGTTCTCCCGCTCTGCCGCGGGGCCGGAGCCACCCGGGAGAGCCGCGTATTGTCGGGGGCGGGGGGCGAGACGGGGGCCGAGGGAGGGCGGGTGGGCGCGGGCAAGAGGAGCCGCGCCGCCCGCCGCTGCCGTCTCCCTTTCCTCCCCTGCCGCAGGTCTCGCTGCGGGGAGCGGAGCGGAGCCAGCCCCCGAGGGGAAACGCCTGCCCCCGAAGAAAGGGCTGCCCGGAGCCGGAGGCGCCCGAAGGGAAAAGTTGCGTGCGGGGCCGGGCCGGGCGCGATGCCGGGGCGCGGCGCGCTGTGCCTGGGGCTGCTGCTGCCCGTCCTGCTGGGCTGCGGGTCGGCGCAGCCCGGCGGCTGCCCGGCCCTCTGCGAGTGCTCGGAGCCGGCCAGGACGGTGAAGTGCGTGAACAGGAACCTGACGGCGGTGCCCCCCGACCTGCCGCCCTACGTGCGCAGCCTCTTCATCACCGGCAACCCCCTGACCGACCTGCCGGCCGGCGCCTTCTCCGCCCAGCGCCTGCCCGACCTCGCTTCCCTCAACCTCAGTGGCAACCACCTGCGGACCGTGGAGGCCGGCTCCCTCGCCCTGCCCGCCCTGCGGCAGCTGGACCTCAGCGGCAACGCGCTGGTCTCCTTCAGCCCGCAGGCCTTCGGGGAGGGCGGCAGCCCGCTGGAGGAGCTGCTCCTCCGCGGGGCCCTGCGCGACCACGGCGTCCTGCTCAGCCTGGCCGCCCTGCTGCAGTCCGGGGCCCTGCGCAACCTCAGCCGCCTGGAGCTGGCCGACAACGGGCTGCTGCTGCTGCCCGCCGGCATGTTCACCGCCCTGCCGGCCCTGCGGCTGCTGGACCTCAGCAACAACTCCCTGGTGGGCCTGCGAAATGTCTCTTTCCAGGGACTGGGCCAGCTGCAGAGCCTCAACCTGAGCGATAACTCCCTGGGCGTGCTGTGGAACAGCACCCTGGCCCAGTTCCGCAGCCTGCCCGCGCTCCGGCACATCGTCCTGCGCCACAACGCCTGGGTCTGTGACTGTGCCATCGAGGACCTGGTGGCCTGGCTTAAAGAGAGCGACCAGGTGGAGGGCAAAGAAGCCCTGACCTGTGCCTCCCCTGACAAGATGTTTGGCAAAGCCCTGCTGAAGATCAATGGCTCGGACCTGAACTGCTCCGTGCCCATAGACCTGCCCTCCCAGCTTCAGACTTCATACGTCTTCCTGGGGATAGTCTTGGCTCTCATTGGGGCCATATTCCTCCTAGTTTTGTACTTGAACCGAAAAGGAATCAAAAAGTGGATGCACAACATCAGAGATGCCTGTAGGGATCACATGGAGGGCTACCACTACAGATACGAGATCAACGCAGACCCCAGGTTAACAAACGTCAGCTCCAACTCAGATGTCTGACAAAATGCCCCGGATGCAGGGCAGTGCAAAGTACCTATGCATGAAAAGTAGACTTATGCTTTACCCTTGTGCTTGCTTCCATCTCCCCTGGAAAGTCTCAGACATGCTTGTATCTTGAGGGGGATATGCCTCCCTGTGATGTCAAGTTAATTTTTGTTTTGAGACACTGAACTGCTGAGCATGGCGTTCAGCTGTGTGTAGGAAACAAGCTGCTACTTATTTTCCTCCTTGCCTGTCTGCACTTGTGGGAAATTTTTCAAGTTGTCAAAAGAAAAAAAGGATTCTCTCTGATGATCCAAAGCCACCAGAGTTTATAAAACGTTTACTAATGCAGACGCTTCAACAAAAGCTGCCTCAACTTTTTGGGAAAAAAAAAAATGTTATGTTCCTCTGTGCCAGTTTTGATCTTGTATATCTGAATTGAGACGCGATGATTACATTTCATAGACTATCTTGAGATTTTAAAAACCAAACAAACTCCTTTTAACAGCTCTTCAGAAGGAAATCAAATAGCAAGCATGCACAAATATTGTATAGTTTTACATGTTAGGAAATTTATGATCTCAGTAAGTCTCTTACTATTTTGTAGTTATTTTTGATTGCAGTTTACGTGACTTGACAGAATTTTTTTATACGAACTGCATTTAAACTCCATCTAAACTCAGTCTGAACTGTTAAATTCAATAAACAGTCTTACAAGAACTGTTGTTTGCTGTTCAATGAGAAAAGTATGGACATCTAAGAATGTGAATAGTGCTATAATCTCCGAAGTAATAGCCCTGAAGTAGTAATATGAATAAAAGTTTATACAAATGTGTAGCTTAGAGCCATAAATGTTTGACAACTTTGTGATATATGCTAGGAGAATTACACTGAGCTTAATTACACTGAGAATTAAACTACAGGAGCAGTTTCACTTGGCACAAACCCCTCAGACTGCCCTCTGAAAGCACCTGCATAATGTCAAGACAGATGCTAGGGTCTGCCTTCCTGGGAAGGTACAAGCTAATAGAATTTTCATAAGGTCTTCTCTACCAAATTAAAAAACAAAAAAACAACCAAATTAAATTGTGGAGTACGCAAGCTAAAGAACATTTTACCTGAATGGAATGGCTTATTATAAAAAACTATACTTGTGTGTCCTGAACTAAATTAAATGCAGCTCAGTCGTGCGGTCAGGAAGCTCTAGGCTTATGCATCACTACAGCAGTTATTAGATTGCTGTTCCTTTTTAAGGTCTTGGTACTTGTGAGGCTCTGTAGCGATCTACTTCCAGTAACTTGATGAAACTTTACATTTATATTTATGCATTTAACAGGTGCACTTCAGTATGGTATGTTGCTTGCTACTTGCTTGGGAATGCGTTTTCTTGTAAATAGATAAAGCATGCAAAAGAACCCTTCAGAATGCCTAATTTAAGATGCAACTCTGACCACATATAGAAAGGTTAGCAAGAACCTTGCAGTGGCTGCCAATAATTAGTGCACTTTTTCTAATATATTTATGGTTTTTTAATGAAAAAAAAATACACCAGCTGTAAAAGTGTGATGTGACTTGATATATATCAGTTTATCTGTGGAGCTTTTTCCATGGTCACTGTTACTTGAAGGTCTTGAGCATCTCTCAAATTTTATGAATTGCTGGCTAATTCCTTTTGCTTTCGAAAGTGACAGTTTTCTCATAGATGTATACATTTGGTAAGAGCTCAAATACAAAATAGTCTTTAAAGTATCAGAAGAAATATAATCTATTTTGGGCATTGGTATTATTCAAAAGTGTTTCTCATCTTGCGACTTCAGACAAAGCAAGTAGCACAATTTGCTTTTGATTCATTTTCTACTGCTTTAAATTGGATTTGTTTAACAGCAGTGATTTTTTTAATGTACTTATGTGCATTTACCCTTAAAAGTAAAAAAAGAATGGATATTAAGTACAACTATCATTTTGTAAATCAGTATATTTTGCAATTAATGTGGAATAAGTGATAGTATATTTTCCTGCTGTAATTTGAATGTATGAGCAATATCTGGATAATGGCATATTAATTAAATTTGTCAATTCTTACAAAGCAGGCTGCCCGTCTCAATATTAGCTGCCCATATTTTAAGGATAGTGTGAAAACCCCCGTGTGAAGAACTGTTGCTGTTGCCACTATGCAAACCCTTCATACTTGGTGTACATCAGATAGGTTATATAAGAATTTACAGTAGCTGCGCTGTGTGCTTCGTTGTATCCGTTATCCTGGAGATTATCAACTTACACGTACCTGTACAGTGCCAAGAGGAGTAGAGCATCATCCTTGCTTAAGATGCTCCTGTAATACAGTAGATAAAACATGTGCAAACCAAGCCATTTCTGGGGCAATTTCCTGAGTTTTGTTAACAGATACTTTAACTACAGTAAAAGCAATTATCCGTGATGTGTTAATGTAACGGCTGTGCGTTTGTGGAGCTGTGTAAGGACAGGCAACGACTTTCATTGCAGACTCTCACCAATGGAGCAAGTATTTGTATAGTGAGCAAGTGTAACTGTTGTTACTGTTACTACACATATTATTCTAAAGATTATTATTACTATTATTTTTGTATCTTAGTCAATGTAATAGAAATTTATTAGAGATCTGGTGACAGCTGCTTAAAAACAATTTTTGTTATTTGCTTACATGTGTATTTATTAGGATGTAACATTTAGCATGTGTCAGTGTTGTGTTGGATGATGTTCCCCTACAGTGTTTGACCAACAGTGAATGCTTTGGTGTTTTGTACAATGCATTATTTGATCTTAAATTCCCTTCCATAAACAGTGCTTGAAATTTGTTTTGCTTTTCTTTTACAAAATAATTAACAGTGGTACTCAGATGACACATAAAAGTAGCTCCCACACTACTTCAGAACGTGGTTAAAAACAAAACACCTAAAAAATAATTAGTTTCAACTTTCTTCTGAAGCACATTTTATAACCCTACTCTGCTTTGACACCTGGGATTCCGATTGACTACTTCCAATTGACTATTTCCAGAGCAGCTTATTCATTCATTCTTTGATAAAACACACGTAGTTCTAAATACCTCTAAAATGTGTTTTGTATACATAAATCCCATAAGTTCTGTGTGACATAGTTGTCACTGAAAAACATCCAGACTATAAAGTATTGGGTAAATCTTCATGAAAGGCTGCACAGCTAAGAAGCAGAAATAATCATTTTCCCAAGGTTTAGCTGCTTTGTTAAAGCTAGTATTAGTTGTAGCAATCTCATAATTTTCTTAGAAAAATAGCACGAGGAATTAAAATAGTTTTAATATATTTTATTCAAACACTTTGGATAAGTGATGTTGCCAGGTAAAAAAATTCCCCAAATCCTCCTTTAACCAAGGTAGCTTTAAATTAGATAATTTTTATTTTACTAGATAATATTTATTTTGCCAAGCCATAATATTGCCAGTAATTCTGACATCCAGGAAGTAGTTTGAAGTTTTGCAACAACTGCTTCAAATCTTTTCACTCTGGGTAATTTACTTTTTCAGCACTGGTGACAGTCCCCAGTGACATGGCAGCAAGCAGAGCAGTCTGTTCAGACCCGCATTCTGTTGTTGACTGAGATGTCACTGAAAACAGGCATGGCAAATTATTCAAAATATGACTGCACTAGGATCTCAACTCTCATTATTCTTCTAGCATTTTCCCTGTGGTATACTCCAGTCTTTCTGCATCTGCATAATTTCTTTTTTTGCCTCATTTTCTCAAGAAATCCATTAAAAAGAGTATCATGAATCTGCACAGGTAGAGAAATCAGTCTGACTGCACCAATATATTGAGGTTTAGCGTCTTTATTTTTCTTTAAGCCTGAATGTGGAAAAGAGCCTTTGTCAAAGTGGACAGAATGAAAATTTGATATGCACTTTTTCTTTCTCTTTAGCAGCTGAATTTTCAAGAAGAACCATTCATTCTCAGCATATGATGAAGGAAAATAGCTTTTGGTAAGAAAAATGTTTTGGTTTCAAGCTTCCAAAATGACATTTATATTCCATAAGAGAAAGTGTAAGGGAGAAGCTTGTGAAGGAAACAGAGATATCTCTTCATAATGGGTCGGCACTGGAAGTCACAATGCTGTGGATAGGAACAATTCCTGATTGAATCTGTCCATTACCTTCTGGTCATTTTTGTAGGTTCAGCTCAAATTTCTCCCTGCTGCTATAAATAGAAACATTTTGTTTGCAAGTGCTGTCCCATCTTACAATATTTGCAGTGAAGGTGTTTTCACTGTGATTTTCTTGTGGAATATAATAGAAGATTGAATTTAATTCAGTGCCTGCTGATTTAATAATGACCAGATCAAGCTCATAACTTAATAATCTTTTTTTTTTTTTTTTTTTTTTTTGCAAATATGCTGCTTACAAGGGGAACTTACAAGGGGAAAAGACCTTGGCTTGAAATCAAACAATAAAAGCCCAATAAAAAAAAAACAAACAGGAGAGATAGATAGAAAGCAGAACATTTGGAGAGTGCAGCACTCATTAGGTACTTCACTCAGAAAAGAGGCAAACCACGTGGGAGCTGAGGGTCCTTTGGTGATACAGGAGTAAGTGTACTCTGTTAGCTTCCCAAGTCAATACAGCAGTAGCAGAAAAGTGATGCTTTATACCAACACAATAAACCTAACAGCACTTCTCTCCCACATTGAAAAAAACCCCACCAAGCCTTTAGAAGGAAGAATACAGGTTTGCAGTATAAGTATGTCCTTAAAAAGGACTTTCACTTTCTCAACTGTGTTACAATTTATGTGTTGTCACATCCTTGGAAAACCTTGCTATGCCAGAAGTCATCTGTTGCGTAGGCAAAGCTTGAAATCAGTCTTTGCATTCCCAATGTTAGCCTAAATAGAAAAAGCAAACTATTAAGGAAATTAAACCAGTACTTTATACAGCATATCTGTGGTATAGTTAATAATTTAATATTTGCAATTACTTACATTTTTCAAAGTATTCACTAGATAACTTTTCCTATCTGATGGTAGACTAGCAGAAAAACAGATTTTTGTTTCTAGTAATTATGCATGAAAGCATCTGAATAAATTAGCAATATTTCAGTACATACGGTGATGAAAATGCTAGAAATCTTGTGTTCTAGAATGTTTCACTGTTACAGAAATGTTAGATGTGCAAGAAACAGCTGTAACTTTCTGATTGAAGTTTGGTTTCCTAATTAAAAAATATTCTTGAGGAAAACCCCAATAAAATATTTACCAGATTGCTTATACAAGTTATATGTTCACTCTGTTTATTTTATTACTATAAATCCTTACAGGTATTGAGGTCTTTACTGAAAGTAGTTGTATTCCTTTTAGCCCAAATTGATGGTTGGGCTATGAATTTGCATGGTAGAATAATGAAAAAGCAAGGTCCATATAGCTGGCCTGATTGATTTACTTAGAAAGAAATTTGGCCAGTGAATATAAGAGATTATGCTTCAATTGTTTTTGTTATTACAGACATAATTTGATAGCTTTTTTTGGTTTGAATATATGGTATTAATTTTCAAGTTAGGTGCCAATTCTAAATTTAACAGGAATGTATTTTCATCTTCTTCATTACCATATCAGACTGTGTTTTAAAGTCTTCAAATACATATTTACATAGTGAAATATAAAGGCACTGTTATTACTGATGGAACTATTAAGGAAAAATGCTGCTGGAACAGAGAAAACAGGTGAAAACCACAGTGGTACAAAAAAGCATTCAGTTGACAAACTTTTATTCCTGCAACTTCTTTTAATGAAATTGTTTCTATTGTAACCTCATGGAAATCCAAGGGAAGAATGGCCGTTTATCTTCTCATATTTAGCTAATACAGATGTCCAAAATTTTATTAGGTAGGAACAATCTTTTGGGGTTGTCCCAGGAGCTACAGCTGATAACTTAGTTTTGTGTCTAAATTGTTTGCTAGTATTTTTTGCTAGTTCTTAGAACAGCTAACACAGAAGAAGTTTGGCTTTGCACATGGTAGATTGATCTGTCCCAAGTTTTATCACAGAGCTGAACTGCCGTAGGATCTGGCCACAGTCTGCTTCAGGTCTTCCATTTGTTCCAGTAGAATTTCCCTTCTGCACCATAGCCCAGGGTAGCTTTGTGTGATGCCATGGGCATGGATACAATAAAGAACTCCTTTGCCAAATGGTCATTATCAAAAGTCAAATAGACATTTCAACATAATTCACTGAATATTTCATCAAGTAATGGTAGTGAAATAACAAAATAAGAAAAAAGTAACGTTTATTACCAGAATGCTGTAAGCAGTCATGAACTGACACCACATTGGAGCATTTGAGTAATTTAAGCTGCTTCTGAAGATGGAAAAAGAAAAAGAAGAAGCTATTGCATTAACAGTTTTCTTCTTCAGGTTGGTGTCTTCATTAATTCTCATTAATAGCTCATGAACAAGCAATAACTGAATCCTACAGATAGTTATACATTTAAATACATTTCAGTCAGGGGTTTTACCCTACTGATTTTCTAGTTCCATCTTTGCAGAGGTGGGTACTTTAGTTAGCCTGGAGAGGACTAAGAATTCTTAAAACATTAGAAGACAAGAATTTTTATTTTACATGTACACAGAAGCATTTTGCATACACACACATACATGTATAAATATATTTACATAATGTAAAATTAGTAGAGACAGAAGAAGAGTAAAATCCAAGACACACCATCTCTCCTGTCCAACATTCTATTGGCTAGCTTAGGGGCTTTTTTTCCCCACAGATTGAAAAGGGAACCTAAGTGCCTAAAGGGAGTGGGGAATGCCTCTGAGAAGCACATATGACAAATTCATGTTGCAGCACACCTACTGTGACCATTAGCAGCAAGTTAACAAAAACTGGTGCTGAGTGGTCAAGGTTTTCCAAAGGGTCTGCAGTCTGGGGTTCTTCTCTCAAAGTAGCTTAAAGGGGCTTCATTTACAAAAGTTCTTGAACGGTTTTTGGAAAATTACGCTTGTTTACTTTTTCAGGCAAATTGAACAAAATGCCTTTTCACAATTTTCAATGTGAAAAGGTATATGAGAGAAAATATAAATACTTACTTGTAAGAACTCCTGAAATTCCCAAGTCTTTGCTTTCTTGGTAATTTCTCAAATTGAGATCTCTGTAGCACCATCTATCCAGAATATGTTTTCTCTTCCCTATCTTATTTAATCATCCCTAATTCAGATTACTTTTATCTATCAACTTTGTGGTTACAAACTTGATTACTTCACATTGATAAGCAAAGGTAGAACTCCTAGGAAATAAATCATGCATAAAATCAAATACTCAATATTTATCACCAAGCAGATTATTATTAAGGTTATATTTGTTGACAGTGTTTCATTCAGGTTTTCCCTTTTGCTGTCAGTCCCTTTATGTTTAGCTTTTCAACATACTAAAAAGTTCTGTGGTAGCCCAGAGGAACTCTCTGATTCCAATTTCCAGGGACAAACAAGGAGATCTTATTTTGTGACGATAGTCTTGAAAAAACTAGCAGAAACAGTGCTTGAACTTTTCTGACAGGATAGTAAAATTTTGCTGAAAATAGCTCAGCTAACATATTCTTCATTTGTCAGAAATGCTAGATGTGCAGAAAGGGCTGGAATGCTGAATTTGTGATGCTGATGTAGATGCTGTTTAATGAGCCCGTGAGGTTTCTGTTACAATGGCTTGTGCTACCTCTGCTCCGATTTCTCCTCCCTGCAGCTCCACACCATTCTGATGTGCTCCAACAGGACTCGAATGAGTTTAGGACATGCATTCAGCAGATTGTGGTAATTTGTTTATGTTATTACTC